AGTAAAGCTAGAGGTAGCATTTCCTTCAAAACGATGAGTACCTACGCTCAGTGGTGGGTTTCTCCCTCAAATATCCCCCATGTAACTGGGTCCATTGTGTTCTGATGGGATCCATATATTAACAGGAACAGTCGGCGCAGAGGATTTTGTAATTGGCACTTGACTCATCTCATGGAATTCACAGGTCCTTTATGCGGTTGCTACAGATAGCAAGTATCGGCAAACGTTGCGTGACGATAGTGAGGTCTCAAACTAGACTTTCAGTGGCCACTAAGATAAGAGTCGGTACTCCACCCCATACTTGATCTGTCCAGATGCCGCAGGAGACTTAAGCTAGCATACTATGCTCGTCTTCCAAGTAGTTACACTCAAGTAGTCCTTCAACCGGAAAGATGGGCAAGCACCAGCTAGATAAAAAGAAGCCACAATTCCACCTCTGGCCTCGTTTTTAAGGGCTGGACTTGGGTTTAACCGGAACAGGATGCATATCCTAGGCTCTGTCAGTCGGCTTCCTATATTGAAACAGATCACTCTTCGTACTAATAGGGTTCAGGAGTTTTGTACCGTTTCTATTGCAGTAGAAAGTCACTAAGGCCTCACTTATAGGCGGTACTTTCAGAAAATGATCATAAAAAGGGACCCGTGGCAAACATTCGAGGGGGCATTAGGCTGTAATTTAATAACTGCGGTTTACCGCTTAAGTCTAACGCTCGGATTGAAGGTTCCAGAATGCTTCGGCGTGACTATTCCGGAACCTGACTCCTGCCTCTTTGTTGATACATTAAGATCCGGTAATGAAAATTTCAACTACTTTAAGCAGTCGTATAGACGTAGGTGAATTCACAGATCTGCACCGAGTTCAAAGATTAATTTGTAATAAAACTTGTAATTTCAAAACTGGTATATCAGCCAGAACGCACACAGGGAATACTGAGGGACTCGTAGATGAGCCGGACTCTTCGCAGCTGTGGCAAGTAGCGACAGAACGTCGGCAAAACACATGTCTGGGCTTTTACTTATTACCTGTGCTGCCAATGTATTATTCCGTAAGTTAATTCACTTGTTTACTATCTATACTGTTCACCATGTGACGTTGTCACAGGGCTCTAATTCACCAAGTGCTCGAATCGTGCATTTTGTGTCATCACGGCCTCTGCAGCATACCGAAGCGAGACTGTTAGATTTGCTCTTGTATCTTCTGAACAGCTGCTTCAGACAGTCTTCGAAGGATATAAGAATTCTAATGATTAGGATGATTAGCGATATGTGAAGAGAAATTTTGGTCACGATCCTAAAGGCCGCTGTAACACATGCTAACAATACAGGCGAACATGCGAGTCCCAGAAAGTAATTCTTAACGTGACATATTAACGTTTCACAACATCAGAATGTGGCCCGTAGTGCTGTGGAGTTGAGAAACTGGACGATATAAACAGGAGAGTCAGAACTACAAAGGTCTAACGAAGATGAAATTAAACTTACTTCCAACTTTTTAGTAGGTCGATTTTCCGCCCACACAGACACTCCCTTGGTTATGTTAATCAGTAGGAGTTGGCCTAATAGTTTTCTTGCTCTATAGGCTTCATTTTTAGTCCTTTCGTCCTTACCACAACCTTTTCACCTACATTTTCCCTTCAGTAAGACAAATATACGTGGCTTTACTTTCTTTCTTTTTGCGCAGTTATCACGCACCCATACAGCCCCTGGTGTGCCCCACCCTTTCATTTCCCATTAACAACGAGCCTCGTAGGATACTTCAAATGGGGACTTCTGTCATTTGAAGCGAAAATCATAGAGCGGACCGTAACTAAGCCAAAAGTGCTCTTCAGCTACATCAACAGCAGGCTAAAAAACAAAGACACAGTCGCAGTACTAAAAAGTGAAAATGACGAATAAATTATTGGCAAGCCTGAAAAGGCAGAACATCTGTTTTCACTGAGGAACTGCATTTTAATCCGACAGACTTCCATGCAGAGTGTAACGGCAGAATCATGGAGGACCTCCATTTCACAGAAGAAGTGAGGAAAGAACTTCTTGCGCTTAATGAAGCTAAGTCTCCGGGTCCAGACAAAATACCAG